AGGTGAAGGGATATTAAAGGATATTGAAGGAGATACAAGGAAAGAAAAGGAGACAGAAAGGAGACAGAAAGAGAAAGAAAGGAGACAGAAAGGAGACAGAAAGAGAAAGGAGACAGAAAGGAGACAGAAAGAGAAAGAAAGAGAAAGGAGACAGAAAGGAGACAGAAAGAGAGAGAAAGAGAAAGAAAGGAGACAGAAAGGAGACAGAAAGGAGACAGAAAGGAGACAGAAAGGAGAGAGAAAAGAGACAGAAAGAGAAAGAAAGGAGACAGAAAGGAGACAGAAAGGAGACAGAAAGGAGACAGAAAGGAGACAGAAAGGAGACAGAAAGGAGACAGAAAGAGAAAGAAAGGAGACAGAAAGGAGACAGTAAGAGACAAAAGGAGACAAAAGGAGACAGATAGAAACAAAAGAAGATAAAATGAAAGAAAAGAAAACAAAAGGAGACAGAAAGGAGACAGAAAGAGAAAGAAAGGAGACAAAAGGAGACACGAGGAGACAAGAGGAGACAAAAGGAGACAGACAAGAGAAAGAAAGAAAAAAAAAAAAGAAAAAGAAAGGAGACAAAAGGAGACAGATAGAAACAAAAGAGAGACAGATAATAGAGACAGAAAGAAAGAGAGAAAGAGAAAGAGAGAGAAAAAGGAGACAAAAGAAGAGACAAAACGAGATATAAAGAGACAGATAGAGACAAAAGGAGACAGAAAGGAGACAGAAAGAGAAAGAAAAAGAAAGGAGACAAAAGAAGAGACAAAAGGAGACACAAAAAAGAAATAAATAAAAAAACAAATCAATAAGCAAAAGAAAAGAAAACAAAAATAAAAAAATAAAATATAAAAAAAAAAAGAGAAAAACAAAAACAAACAAAAGATAAAAGGAGACAAAAAGGAGACAAAAAGGAGACAAAAAACAAAACAAATAAAATATAAAAAAGAGAAAAACAAAAACAAAAAAAACATAGAAGGAGACAAAAAGGAGACAAAAAAAACTGTCTCCTTTTTTCTTTTTTTTTTCTATCACAAAACACACCTCTACAAACTGCAGCAAACGCCCACCATCCCCCCTCTTGCTGCTGCTGCTGCTGCTGCTGCTGCTGCTGCTGCTGCTGCTGCTGCTGCTGCTGCTGCTGCTGCTGCTGGTGGACTGGGGGGGGAGACGCAGGCCGTCGCGGGTAACAGCCTCAAGGACAGCTGGCGGCAGCAGCAAGCAGCAGCAGCGGAAGCAGCAGCACCTGCAGCCGGCAGACACAGCCACAATACTGCTGCTGCTGCTGCTGTTGCTGCTGCTGCTGTTGCTGCTGCTGCTGCTGCTGCTGTTGCTGCTGCTGTTGCTGCTGTTACTGCTGCTGTCGGTGCTGCCGCTCGCGCTGTCACCGTTCCTGTCATTGCTGCTGCTGCTGCTGCTGTTGCTGCTGCTGCTGCTGCTGCTGCTGCTGCTGCTGCTGGTTGAGTAGGAGACAAGGGTTTGTTTCTTGCTGCAGCAGCAGCAGAAAGAGAGAGACAGCCGCCAGGAGACAAAATCACAAGCAGCAACATCTACGGCCATGCATGCATCTGAGCAGCAGACACAAACCCTAAACCCTAAACCCTAAACCCTAAACCCTAAACCCTAAACCCTAAACCCTCAACCCTGGTTTTTTAGTCGATAGGGTAATAAGAGACAGAGAGAAGAGAAAGGAGACAAAAAGAAAAAAAAAAGAAATAAATGAAGAGGAGAGAGATTCAGATAAAAAAGAGACAAAAAGGAGACAAAAAGGAGACAAAAAGGAGACAAAAAGGAGACAAAAAGGAGACAGAAAAGGAGACAGAAAAAGAGATAGAGAGAGACAGAGACAGAGAGATAGAGACAGAGACAAAGATTGATAGAGAGACAGAGACAGAGACAAACAAAAAAAAAAAAGAAAAAAAAAATAAATGAAAAGAGAAAGACGGAGACACCGCATAACAGGAGACAGAGACAGCAAGGAAGAAACAAAGAGAGGAGAAAGGAGACAGACGAGCTGCAGCAGCTGCAGCAGAAACAGCAGCAGCAGCAGCAGCAGTACAGCAGCCTTAAGAGCAGTAGCAAGAGCAGCAGCAACAGCAACAGCAGCAACAGCAACAGCAGCAACAGCAGCAAAAGCAGCAGCAGCAGCAGCATCACAGAAGCCTCACGAGCAGTAGCAGTAGCACCAGCAACAACAGCAACAGCAGCAGCAGCAGCAGCAGCAACAACAATAGCAACAGCAGCAGCAACAACAATAGCAACAGCAGCAGCAACAGCAGCAGCAGCAGCAGCAGCAGCAGCAGCAACTAACCCGGGGGCCCCCAAAGAAAGAAGAGGAGCTCGTGTGTCTCTGTTTCTATTTGTCTCCATTTATTAAAAAGGAGACAGCTAGCAGGCTGCCTATACACCCCAGAAAGGAGACCCTGCAGCAGCAAGATGCTGCTGCTGTCTTTGCTGCTGGCAGATAGCAGCAACTCACCCAATGCTGGAACGCTCTGCTGCTGCTGCTGCTGCTGCTGCTGCTGCTCCTGCTGCTGCTGCTGCTGCTGCTGCTGCTGCTGCT